TCAAACTCCACCTGTTTCTTCCTCCCTAGAGCTAGGATTAAAGATGTTTGTTACCATGTCCTGCAACATTTAAATTTTATAATCCTGCCAGTGTTGGTGTATGCCTATAATTCCAGTATTTGAGAGTCGGAGACAGGAGGGTCTGGAGTTCAGGGAAAGCTGGGCTACATGGTGTGACTCTGCACTGAAAACACAAGGGCTGGGAATGTGGCGAAGAGTTTGGCTAAAAAGCCAGGATCCTATGTCTCATCTCTAGCTCTGCAAAAATAAATTCTAAAACTCTGGTTTAAATAAAAATCCACAAAGGTGCTCACCAGTAAGGAAATTAGATGTTTATGCATTCCAAATTCTCCATACTGAGTGACCTTAAATCAGTCACTTCACCTTTCTGGGTTTGTCTTACTCTGCTGGGGGGAAAAAGAGAGAGAAATAAATACCCACTGCAGTCTGGGGACTGTGATTAAAAAAAGAAAAGATTGCAGTGAAATGTTTAGAATAGAATCTGGATTGGCAAATCCAAAACCACCGGCGGTTCCTTTTGACTCTATTCGAGGGCATAACTGCGAACTTGCGGATCACCGGACGGCTGAATAGTGAGACACAGGCAGCCTCATGGTTTTAGCTACAAAATCTTTAATCAGTTAACACCACAACCTGGACAAGATCTAGAAAAACAGGTTTCTAGATGCTTGGATACTCGGCTAGGTACTGCACACACCCCCGCCTGCCATTACTCAAAAAGAAAAAAAAAGAAGGCAGCGTTGGGCCTGCATTTTATGCACATGCCCAACGAGGGAGGTGGAGAGCCCGAGTCTCTGCCAACCAACGTCCGAGCGGCCCGCCGTCTCATCCCGAAAGAACCTGGGGACGGCCCGAGAATGCTGAGACGCACGTTCTAGAGCTTTCGGACCCACCCCAGTTGCGCGTCGGCGACACGTGTCGCCATCTTGTCGGGAAACATGGCTGCCAGCCCTCCCCGCTGTGGGAATGCAAGGGGGCGGCGGAGGGGGGCCACGCCGGCCCTTTCCCTGAGGGTCTACACACGTCCGCACAACCTCCTCTCGTCCGGCGAGGCCCGCGGGGCAGGGCGAAGGCCGGGACACCCTAACTCGCCCTGCAGAGGCTCCGTGGCCATTTCCTGGCGGGAGGGACTCGGGCAGGGAGGCCTCCCAAGATGGCGGCGGCGGCGCCGAGGGCCGGC